CGCAGGAAGGGGTTGCATGTGGACCAAAGTCTCTTACTGCTTCACATCAGGAGTGAGGAGACGGAGCCTGAAATACCCGAGGAGTCATCTCCACTTCGTTTTCATTTTAAACACCAAATCTGTGACCAAGGAAAAAGTTTTGAAGGAAAAGGAGTCTATTTTTATTTCCAAATGTATGTAGAAACAGTTCTGATGTCCAGAACACATGGAGCCCAGGAAATGCCGCCATGCCCACCTCGTGCCTGAAGCATCTGCCTCTCCGAGATGCGGCAGCCCCAGGCACGTCCAAGGGGCCCCTTGGACTGACATACTGATGGGGGGTCGCTGCCCCCAGGGCACCAAGGGCACCGGCGCTGGAGGACGGTGGGCGGGACCATTTTGAGGCACAGTTCTGTGCCGGCCCAGAGATGCGGGCAGGACTGAGCCCCCACTGTCTGCAGCCACGAGCTGCCGAGTCACAGCCTCTCTCGTCCCTTCCTTCCTCACGCTGCCCTGGGGAATAACCCGGAGGTTAGTGGCGGTCACTTCAACACGGAAAGAAAGCTGCGATGTCGGCCGCTGGAGCTGGAGGTCGGGGGCTGAACCAGCAGCTCCTCCTCTTCAGGGAGAGCTTCAGACTGGCTTTCGGTCTTGGGGCATTTTTGCCGGCCTTTGAAGTCATGTGAAATGTCCAAAATAGAAAAGAAAATCCACCAACTGGCTAAGAATGATCCAAAAAGTTAAATGTCAAGAGTTCTTGGTCTTTTTCCAAATGGATCTGGGGCACAGTTATCTGCTTCTGCGTCATGAAACTATTTACCGGGCAACAAAAACTGATGCTGAAAACTGGAGAGAATTATGTACATAAAGTGAAAATCTGAAGTGTATGGCCCAGTGAAGTTCACTCACACACCCACCTCCCTGAGGTAATACTGTTCCCACCCCTGCCTTCCTGGTTAATTCTCTGTTCCCAGACTTCGCCACATCTGAGACATGCCTGTGTCTGCACAGTTTGTTTCCTTCGTTGCCGAGAGATTCCCAGTGCACAGCAGCACAGGTTACCAGGATATTTAGGTGGTTGTGGGGTTTGGCCACCTTTAGAAAGGCTGCTCAGCATATTCCTGCATGTGGCACGGTGGACGCACACACCCCTTTATCCTGGGTGTGGAATGACTGGGTCAAGGCTGACCCACATTTAGTTGTTAGCAGCTAATGCCAAACGCTTTTCCAAAGGTTTTTAGCGGTTTATATTTTATATTCTACCAGCAAATAATGTGAGTTCTGGTTGCTCCATATCTTTCTAAGATGGGTACTGTCAGTATTCTAAATTTTAATCACCCCTTGAGTATGTAGGACCTTTCCCTGATAAATAACAATAAATAAGTATATTGATCTTATTTTTATATGCCATTTGGGTATCCTCTTTGGGAAGTCCCTTAAGAACACGTTTTTAATTCCAAATAAAATGGTATTATGTGATATGCCTTACACACAGTCCCCCCAAAATATGTATGTAGAAGCACACCGCATTTTTTAAAACTAGTTAAAATATCTTTAAATACATTTCGTTACTCAAGAACGTTGCCCTGAAAGTCCTTGGTGTGCTGACCCGCCGCAGTAGGCTTCCTGTGCCGGAACGGCCGCAGAGTCCGGCCTGCGAGGGCCTGAGAACCGCCCGTGGTACTCGGCCTGCAGCGCCCGGCGCCTCTGCTTCCAGCCCCGTTGTGGCTGCGGCCTTGCCCGAGACCTCGCCGGTCCCGGGACCTCAGCGGCCAGCTGCCGCCCGCCGAGGGCTCACGGCTCACCGCCACGGCGCCTGCCGCACGCATCGGCCGCACCTAAGGGACGGAGCAAGGAAGACCCCCGTGCGCGGCGACGAGGGGCTGACGCGGCCCGAGCAGCCTGGGCGCAGACCCCGCGCCCCTGACAGTCCAGGCTCCGCGGGGAACGGCGGGACCGTACCCCTGTCCCTCGCTCACCGAGGCGGGCGGCGCCTTCCGCCTTCCGAGAGACACTCCCCCGCCCCCGCCGTTCTCCCAGCAATGCTGCCTTGCCATTGCCCATCGGCGGCGGGCCTGCTTCTCACCCCTTCATCCTGGGCCCACTCGGCCACAAGCACGAGGCGCGGCGCAGCCCCGGCCTGCCTGGAGCCAGCAGCGTGCACGCCCCCGCCCGGGGCCCGGGCCCGAGACCGACGGCCCACCGGCTGGGAGGCTCGGGGCCGCGCGGAGCCGCTGTGCATGAAAGTCACGGGCCTCCGCCACCCGCAGAGCCAGGCGCCCGAGGACCGCCCCGTGCGAATTGGAACGACTGTTTAAAGCCACTGAGTTTTGTGATAGTCGTTACACAGCAGCAAGGGGCCGCAACACACACAGGTTGGGGAGACGTCGGCTGCTCGTGCCAGGGCAGAATGCCGCAGGGAGCAAGACACGATGGCTGACTTCACAGAGCTTACTGCCTTTCGGGTGGGTCGTGAGCTGAAGAGCCCTGTGTGACCCCGCTGCCTGGCTCAGCTGCTGCATGTGTGGCCCCCCCACCGGGTGCACTTCTCACGTGCCATCTGTCTCTAGTGTAGCTGCCCAGTCTCAGCTCAGGTTGCATGGTCGGAGGGTCAGGCTGCACGCCCACAATGGCTCAACCCATGGCAGGAGCTCACATCGTGGAGCTTAGGTGGGTGGGGAGCAGAGCGCCGCGACCCACCTCTGCATGGACTCTCAGGTCAGAGTTCTCACATTGCTTCTCATGCTGAAAACGGGCAGCTCTCAGGCCCTCACAGGAAGCCTGTGAGATCAGAAGCTCAGTTAGTGGCCAGGTCCTGCCTTTCGACCCAGAAAAGGGTGCCAGCATGAAAAGAAGGGAGCACGCTGTGGCACTTACAGCTCAAATGGACCTTGGGGCTGAGTCAGGGCCATGTCAGGAGCTGCCACCTGCTATCTCAGACCCTTACTCCCTTTCCAGTGTCCTTGCCATCAAAACAGGAAGGCAGTGACATTCACTTGACAGCATCCATAGGGTCCAGCAAACTGTTCTTGGAAAGTGCCTGGCAATAAACACGAGCTGTTATGCCTCCCAAGTTGGCTGGAGCTGGGAGGGAGGTGGCCCAGAAGAGGCCAGCACAGAGGGTCAGTGCTCTCTGCAGGGTGCAGCCATCACGGCCTCCAGAGACTTGAAGCCATGTGAAGTCCCCCTCCTGGGACTGAGGAGCTGGACCCGAAGGTACCCCAGGGACAGTCTGGGCACACCTGCTGCCTCTCCCATCTTCTTGAGCAGCAGAAATGGGTGATTCAGTGCGGTCTGTGGCTTGGCCTCTGAGTCCTTCAACATAGCCTTCTAAGAAGCTGCAACCAGCCAGTCACACAGGAGGAAAAATCTAGGGTAGCAGTGAGATGTGGCACCCTGCTGCTTGGAGAGTCACGACTGTCCTGGGGATACACACTGGCACACTCAGGATGCACAGAGAGCGTGCTGTCCGGGAGTTGGCTGCAGCTGCCAGCCCACCTGGGCTCTTCAGCGAGGTTTCATCCCCTGCTCCAAAGCCATTCAGCCCATTCCATACCCCTGGGGTAGGAGGGACAGCACCACCGCGACAGAGAGCTGCTGGTCTGAGGCATGTTTTGCACTCTCCTTGGCTCAGTCAGTTTGTAATTGTGGCAGCCAGCAGGAATCAGAGCATGGTCTCCCAGGGACCTTGAGGCAGGGGGTGTGGGTGGGGGTGTGGGGGTGGATGAGGAAGCCAGTGCTGAGGGAGGTCTCACCTGTGAGGACATCATGCATCTGAAAGGCTTGCCTTTTCCCCAGGCCCAACTCCCAGGCAGAAAGAGCATTAACTCCTTGCTGGCTGCCTGGTCCTGTAGCACAGAAATGTGTGTGACTGAGATGACTGGAACACTAAATGCCATTTGTGAGGTCTTTTGAGAAGAAGAGATCAAGCACTGGCAAATTCCAGTTTACTGTGAAGAAACTGCTTTGTTTGAACATGACATAGGAGAGACTGAGCAGAAATGGAGGGCCTTCTGAGCTCTGGGCTCGGCTGGTGCACACTGTCTGAACTTAAAGCAACTATTAGCGTCTCCTGGGATGTGGGCAGGCAGCTGCTTTGAAGCAGTAACCACACCATTTAGGGATAATTTATATCAAGAGACAAGAAGAATGCAGCACAAGATTGCAGAGTGTGGGTTGCGGAAGCCAAATAGAGTTAGAAGGTATGTTGAAAGGTTTGCTATGATTTCTTTTTCTTTTTCTGGAAATAATGCACCATCCGCATCAGTCCTAAGGATTCTAGACCTAATAGAGTGAGTGAAGCAGATACGAAAGCTTGACTAAGTCGCGGTCACTCTGCTGTCCAAGCTGCTGACCTTCAGCCTCTTGGTTTGGATTTATTAGCTCTGTAAAGTCAGCCTGCCATGTGAAATATTAAAATTCTAACTACCCAGGCTTTCCTAGTTTTGAAAAAGTACTGAAAACCTCAGCATCAATTCCTCAACTCATCTGCTTATCAGTTTATCAGCTTATCTGTTCTCTCTGAACTTAACCAAATATCGTGTAAATGTTGGAGTCCATTTGACTTTTACTTGGAGTATATTTCAAGAAGTAATTCAGTACATTTACAAAAATATTATGCTACATTCCACCCCATCTCTGGCTTGTACTTTTTGAAAAGACTTCCAATTTCTAATTCAGCATATGAGTAACTTGGAAGTCATCGGTCTCCTGTCTTCAAACAAGAAAAAGCTGAACGAACTGAAAATCAAAAACTTGTCTTAGATTCATCAGAGAATTGGGGTCAGAGGGCAAACCACTTCTTGCCAAATTGGAGAGACAGATAGGCTGATGCAGAGAATAGCAACTTATAGAAGCAGAAACCTTTGTGTGAACTAGGAGTGGGGCAGGAAAACCTAAGCTGTAATTGATTAACTGATGGAGGTTCATTGTGGAAAAAACTGAGAGTCAAAAACTCCAGGGGGACCTCATCCTGAGGGCGTCTCACTTTCATGATTTTTACCTCCAAGAGTGGACCAGGTTCTCACAGTGAAAAAGAAAGGAAACGCCCCTTGTGCTTCCAGCACAGGGACCATTTTTAAATACTCCAGTGTGCTCTGTTCTTAACAAGGCCTGCCTTAGTGGAAACTAGTTAACCAGGGCCTAACTGACCTGGGGGAAGGGAAATACCCAACTCCAACCCCCTCCATCCATCCCATACCACTTAAACTAAGAGCACTGGTGACATTCACAGTCCAGAAGCACAGGCTTCACAAAAGACCTCATCATGGAACTGTGGATCCCCACAGCTCACCACCACCACACGGACAGATCCTGCATAACAACAGGGCATACCCTGGAAGAACTGCACATCTCAGACCTTATTCAAGAAGAGTGTAGGGAAGCCCATTAGAAAGACAACGGAGGAGAAAAACACAAGGACAGCAGAGGAGATTTTAGTCTCTCATATCTACAGCAAACACTGCCTTACTCCTAGCTGATAAACATAAAAACTAATATTAAAGGCCTGCTTGCCTCAGTTCCTTTTACCCATGTCTGACTTTCAACAAAAAATTACAAGGCATGCTGAAATATAAAAATCACAGCTTGAAGAGGCAAAGCAAACATCAGAACCAGACTCAGATGTGGCAGAGATGTTGAAATTGTCAGACCTGGACATAAAATGAAATCCAAAGTAAGCACAAGAAAATAAATATAAAAATAGGAGCAAAAATCAATGAAATGGAAAACAGGAAATCAATAGAGAAAAACAATGAAACCAAAATATGGTTATTTGCACAGATACTAAAGTTGATAAACTTATAGGCCAGTTAAGTAAGACTAAAATAGAAACTGCACAAATTGTCAACATCAGAAACAAAAGTAGGTCCATCACTACTGCTCCCATGGACATTAAGGAGGTAATAAAGGATATTGTGAACCCTTCTATGCCCACAAATTTGATAACTTAGATGACATGAATCAGTTTTTCAAAAGATACAATTTACCAAAACTAACACGAAGAGAACTGGATAATCTGAATAGGCCTGTATCTATTAAAGAAATTGAATAAAAAATTCATAACCTACCAAAACAGAAAGCACCAGGCCCAAATGGGTTCACTGGCAAATTCTACCTAATATTTAAGGAAGAAATAATGTAAATTCTCTACAATCTCTTCCAAGAAAGACAAGTAGAGAAAACACTCCTAAATCATTCTATGAGGCCACCATTATCCTAACACCAAAACTAGACAAAGGCACTGTAAGCAAAGAAAACTACAGACCAACATCTATCATAAATCCAGATGTAAAAATATTCAACAAAATATTAGCAAGTCAAATCCAATGTATAAAGAGAATTACACACCACAAATAAGTGGGATTTATTTCAGGTTTGCAAACCTGGTTCAACATTTGAAAATCAATTGATATTAATCTCACATCAAAACGTTAAAGAAGAAAACTCATGTGATTATATAAAGAAGATACAGAAAAAGCATTTGGCAAAATCCAACATGTATTCATGACAAAAACTCAACAAATTAAGAATTAAGGGAAACTTTCTCAATCTAATAAAGAACATCTAGAGGAAAAAAAAAACTATAGCTTACCTGCTAAAATTAGGAAGGCAAGGAGATCCTCTCTCAGCATTCCTATTCAATATATTGGAAGTTCAGCTAACACAATAAAAGACAAGAAAAGGAAATAAAAAGTATGTGAATTGGGAATGAATAAAACTCTCTCTGTTCACAAATGATATCCTTGTCTATGTAGAAAATCCTAAAGAATAAACAACATAAAACCTGCTGAAACCAATCAATGTTTACAGCAGAGTTGTAGGATACAAGGCTAATATGCAACTCAGCTGTATATTACAATTACAAGGTTAATACAAAGTCAACTGCTTTCTTATGTACCAGTCATTAACAATTGGAATTTTGATTTAAAAACACAGAGTACCATTTATATTAAAGAATGTCTTTCAAAAACCTGATATGATACAAAATATGTACAATATCTTTATGAGGAAAACTACAAAACTCTGATGAATTAAATCAAGAGAATCAGATAAATGTTCTATGTTCATGGATAGGAAGACTCCATATTGTCAAGATATCAGTTCTTCCCTAATTAATCTATTGATTTGATACAATCCCACTCAAAATTCTAGAAAGTTATTTTGTGGATATGGACAAAGTGATTCTAACATTTGTACGAATAGGCAAAAGATCCAGAAGAGTCCACACAATACTGAAGAAGGAGCAAGTCAGAGGACCAACACTACCACACTTCAAAACTTACTATAAAGCTACAGAAATCGAGACAGTGTGGTATTCACAAAAGAATAAACAGATACATCAGTGAGACAGAATAGAGCCCAGAAATAGATCCACACAAACGTAGTCACCTGACATTTGACAAAGGAACAAAAGCAATTCATGAAGAAAGGAAAGCCTTTTCAGCATATCTTGCTGGGATAACTGGGCATCTGCATACAAAAAAGTGAATCTAGACACAGACCTTACATCTGACACAAAAAAATTAAATTAAAATGGATCATAGACCTAAATATAAAATGCAAGACCATAAAACTCCTGGAAGATAACATAGGAGAAAATCTAGATGACCTACGGTTTGGTGATGAATTTTCAGATAAAACACCAAAAACACAATCCAAGAAAGAAAAAATTGGTAAGTAGGACTTTAATAAAACTAAAAACTGTTTTGTAAAAGACACTGTTGATAAAATGAGAAGACAAGCGACAGACTGGGAGAAAGCATTTGCAAATCACCTATCTGATAAGGGACTGGAATCCAAAATGTATAAAAAATTCTTAAGAATTAAGATTTTAATTGGCAAAATATCTGAACAGATACCAAACAAGATAAACAGATGGAAAATAAGCATATGAAAAGATGCCCCTCATCAAGTCCTCAGGAAAATGCAATTAAAACAATGAGATCCCACTACCCACCTTGAAGAATGTCAAACCTCTGGGGCACTGACAGCTCCAGATGCTGGCAGGGTTGTGGAGCAAACAAGAACTCTTATTTCCTGCTGGTGGGAATGCAAATGCTGCAGCCACTTTGGAAGAGTTTGGCAATTTCTTACAAAGCTAATACTCTTACTGTAGAGAACAGCAAGTACAGCCCTAGGTATATAGTTGAACTTACTTCCACACAAAAACCTGCTCATGAATGTTTACAGCAGTTTATTCATAATTGCTCAATCTTGGAAGCAACCAGGATGTCCTTCAGTACATTTGAACACTTAATGCTACCTGAAAGAAGTCAATCTGAAAGGCTATATAGTGTATGATCCCAACTCTATTACACTGTGGAAAAGACAAAGCAGTGGAGACAGTAAACTTCTGACGTTAGTTAATAGCAACTTTGTCTCATCAGTTTTAACAGTGTGTCCAGAATACACATAACCTTTTGTCCTGTGTGCCATTCTGCAGCTTGTGAATTTGACTCTTGGACAACACTGACGTAGCTTTCTGTTGGGTCAAGATTATCTGTCAGGTGCTCAGACTTCCTGAACTGGCCACATGCCTTGATTTCCCTGATGTGCTTTTGCTCAGCACATTCATGGTTCCTTGGTGCTTCTGTCCACCATGCTCCCTGTGATTGAGATCACCCCTCTCCACTTTAATCATTCTCCAGTCCCATTTAGAGGTTCACTCCTCCAAGCTCCTCCCAGGAGAGGTCAACTCCTCTTGCTCCTTTGTGCTGCATCTTGTCATTATCGCACCTACTCCTCCATGCCATTCGCCCCCACCTGCTGTACTGTGAGCACCTACAGGGAAAGAGACCTGGGACTTGCCTTGCACATGATGCGTCATGCTTAGAGGGCGGATCTTCAGCAAAGCATCTACATTTGCATTAATAACTGACTGTTACCACCACCCTCTGAGGTGGGAGGGCCGGTATCTTTATCCTTATGCTCATTACAAATGGACAAGTAACTCAAAGAAGTTCATTGACTTGTTCAAGGTCAAATAGTGAGTCAAAGAAATGTTGCCAAATTGGACCCAGAGTCAGTGAGCTTTCAGATCTCAAGCTGCAGACCTAGAGCATCAGGTGCTCTGTCTAATACTGTTCCCTACCGGCTAGAAAGATGAGTGATGGGCAATAGATGGGGATAGATAGGTATTGGTACACAGACAGATAGACATTGGTAGATACGGATATAGATCTAGATAGATGATTGATAGGTGATAAATATACTAGATACATAGATGATAATATTGATACATGTTAGATATAATAGATGATACAGATAGATGATAGATGATAAATATAAATCATAGATGATGTATAGATATGACAGATGCTACATGATAGGTAGATAACAGAAATATTTTGCTGGCGTATTTGGAGAGCAGGTTCAGAGATGACAAAAATGATAAAGCCAATAATGTAAAACTTTAAAAGCTGAACCTAAATAAAGGCTAAAGGGGTGTTCTTTACTCTTCTTATTCTAACTTCTGTGTAAGTTTGAAATTATTTTCAAAATAAAAAGTGAAAAACACAGCATACATTATCTGTTTTATTTTCCGTTTCTAGTGCTTTCTTTGCTGGATAACAACTAGCTCTCTTGCTGAACTAATCCTTCCGGATGTTGAAAGTGATTCCAAGCTCCAGAAGCGCCGGTCTCGTCCGGCCTGTGGATGCCCCGGGGCCCCCTGGCAGCCCTGGGGCAGGGGAGGGACGCCCCCCGGGCTTCCGCGGCAGAACTCAAGAACCGCCCAGCTGGGTCTGCCCTCCCACCCAATGCACTCCAATTTTCTTGTTAATTTTCAGTTGCCCCAACCCAGTCCGCCGGCGTCAAAGACTACCCACCCACCCTAACTGGGATTCTTGCCACTTTCTTGGGCGCCTTTAGCTTTTGATTTAACACGGCACGCGTAGATGCAAACCCAGCGCGGAGCCCGGTCTCCCTGTTCCCAGAGCGGGTCTCCCCAGGGGCGATCCACTGCACGCCGTCGGCCCGCAGGTGCGCACCCACTCACCGCTCTCCCGGCTGCAGAGACGGGGAACAGGGCGGCTAGGAGGGAGGCGCGGAGAGGATGGGCACCGGGGGAGAATGGAGAGGAGGGCAGGGAGGATAACGGGGACGCGGGGAGGGTGGGGAGGTGGGGAGGTGGGAGCGGGGGAGACGAGGGGGTGGGGAGAATGGGGGGAAGAGAGGAGGGTGGGGAGAGAGGGCGGGGAGCGTCGGGAGCGGGGCGGCTAAGAGGGGAGCCCCGGGAAGGGCGGGAGGAGGGAGGATGGGGAGGGCGGAGGGCGCGCGGGGCGGGGACGCGGGGCGCGGGGGCGGAGCGGGATCCCGTACCCGGCCTGGCGCTCGGGCGGCTTGGCGGCAGCTGCTCGGCGCGCGCGGCTCTGACACCGCCGGACCTCGGTGCGGGTCCGAACCCGGGGCGCGTACCCGAGCTTGGCGGGTGCCCGCGCCCGCAGAGCGGGGATGAGGGCGCCGGCGCTGCTGCCCTTCGGGCTCCTGACCTGCTGCGGCTGGCTGCTCGCTCCCGTGAGTGCGCCCCGAGCCCCGTCTCCCTCCCCAGAGAGCGCGGCGCTCGCGCGGGCTGCGCTTCCCTCCCGCGGGCGGGCGGCGGGGTCGGGCCACCGAATAGCTGGGACGCTCGCAGCAGAACGGAGAGCCGCACGCGGAGCGGCCCGGGCCTCGGCGGGGAGGTGCGCTGGGCTTTCCGCCTCCGCGGCCCCAGGTTCGCCAGAAACCGGTCGCGTCTCCGCCCGACGCCCCGCGAGACGAGCGGGTTCCCGGGGGCGCGCGGCCCGGGGCGGGCGGGGGAGGTTGCCTCGGGCGGCGCTTCTCCCCCGACCCCCGGGGGCCGGTACCGGCTGTTGTTTGTTCTACTGCGCGTCAGACGGGGATGCGAGCAGCCTCGGAAAGTTTGGGAAATACTCTGCCCTGATTCTCGTTTTCCTATTCAAGAGCACCGAGGACAAGGAGCACTGAACAGACGCCTGTTAAACGAGGGCGTCGGCAGATAATTCTTAACTCCCGAGAATTCTACTTCTGTTTGAAGGCCGCTGTGAACCCCCTGTGAGCCCGCCTCTTGCTTCCTCCCGTGGACGGGAGGCCGCGGCCCGCGCACTCGCAGCCTGCCGTCCAGGCCGCCTCCCGTCCGGCCGGTGAAGCCCCGCGGGGCGCTGCCTAGGGAAGCCCCGATGGCGGGGACGCCCCGGTTTTCGGGAGGGCTGGAACCTACCGACTCCCCTGCCGCGCACGGAGGCGTTTCCTCCCTCCGGAACGGAGGCTGTGCGGGCGAGAACCTTGGTACTGGAGCTAGCGCTTCGGAGAGCTAGTTTGTTAAAAGTACCAGGGATTATTACGGTTAATGCTGCTTTAATGTGGAAGATGTCCCCCAAATAAGTCATCATTCTGCCTATTTCAAGAATGCCAGGGATTTTTAGTCCTGTAACAAGAATATATCTTTCTCTTTAAATCAATATAATTTCCCCAGTTCTGAAGCGTAAGCCACAGCGAATGCTTGAAAGCAGGAGTCTCTGCAAATGGTGCTACGCCATGTAGATCTTAGGGGGAAAGAAACAAACGTGGGGTCTTTTTTTTTCAATGAGGGCAAATGTGGCAAAAGTATCCAACATTCGTTTTCGGCCTGAATTCCGCTAAGAAATTTTTTCTTCGTTAGAATTCTGATTGACCTGTTTCAATGGTAGGATAAGTAAACACACATGGCCATCATATACCCAAGAGTACAATTCTCTTTAGTAAAAGTAAAATTTTGTTCAGACATGCGGGTGGAGGGACGGCACACAGCTCTAGCCAACAGTGTATGCGTTGGTGGGGGGGGTCATAAATAAGGAGAACACTAGATTTTTGTAAAAATAAGGATCAGACCATATCATCTGCTAAGACTGAAACATGTCATTTTGTCTTTTGCCAAATTGATAGATAGTATTATGGTATCACATCTACAATCTCTATAATAAATACGCATTAAACCACCCTCCTCTTTCAGTGGAAGTGGGAGTGATGTAGCTCCCACAATTCCTTTCCCCTCCTACCTCCTGATCTTTTTGAAAAACTTCACACCAGACTCTAAAGTTGAGCTTCAGATGTGATCCGCAGCCCCTAAAATCAGTTACCCTATTGAGACATGTTCCTCGCCATGCAGAGACACCTCACAGGAAGCGTGCTGGTGTCTGTGCAGAGGGCTTAGTCAGCAGGACTGGTCTTACAGGTGCACGTGTGCTTGCTTAAACCAAGGGCTATGAAACCGAGGACTGGAGTATTGAAAGATTATTGGATTAAAGTACCCCATTGCCCCCGAATTACTACCAACAACATACAGTGTATTACATTAGTATGCTGTTTTCCTGCACAGGAAAAAAAACATACTCTGTTAGGTTTCATATTTGTTTTAAAATTCCTTTATGAAGTAAACACTGCAGCTTAAAAAAATAATAATAACCATGCCAGATAGGAAGGTGCTTGTTTTTTTTTTTTTTTGGTATGGTTAATGTACAATTACTTGAACAACATTATGGTTACTAGACTTCCCCCCATTATCAAGTCCCCCCCACATACCCCATTACAGTCACTGTCCATCAGCCTAGTAAGATGCTATGGAGTCACTACTTGTCCTCTCTGTGCTGTACTGCCTTCCCCATATTCCACCCTGCTACATTATGTCTGCTAATCATAATGCCCGCTTTCCCCCTTATCCCTCCCTTCCCACCCATCCTCCCCAGCCCCTTTCCCTTTGGTAACTGTTAGTCCATTCTTGGGTTCTGTGACTCTGCTGCTGTTTTGTTTCTTTAGTTTTTACTTTGTTCTTATACTCCACAGATGAGTGAAATCATTTGGTACTTGTCTTTCTCAACCTGGCTTATTTCACTGAGCATAATACCCTCTAGCTCCATCCGTGTTGTTGCAAATGGTAGGATTTGTTTTCTTCTTGTGGCTGAATAATATTCCATTGTATAGATGTACCATATCTTCTTTAGCCATTCATCTACTGATGGACACTTAGGTTGCTTCCATTTCTTGGCTATTGTAAATAGTGCTGTGATAAACATAGGGGTGCATATGTCTTTTTGTAACTGGGAACCTGCATTCCATTTTCAGGAGTGGAATACCTGGGTCAAATGGTATTTCTGTTTTGAATTTTTTGAGGAACGTCCATACTGTTTTCCACAATGGCTGAACTGATTGACATTCCCACTATCAGTGAAGGAGGGTTCCCCTTTCTCCGCATCCTCACCAGCATTTGTTGTTCCTAGTCTTTTCTATGTTGGCCATCCTAATTGGTGTGAGGTGATATCTCATTGTGGTTTTAATTTGCATTTTCCTGGCAATTAGCAATGTGGAGAATCTTTTCATGTGCCTGTGGCTATCTGAATTTCTTCTTTGTAGAAGTGTCTGTTCATGTCCTCTGCCCATTTTTTAATAAGGTTATTTGCTCTTTGGGTTTGAGGCATGTGAGTTTTTTATATATTTGTGATGTTAACCCCTTGTCAGATATGTCATTTACAAATATATTCTCCCATACTGTAGGATGCCTTTTTGTTCTGCTGATGGTGTCCTTTGCTGTACAGAAGCTTTTTAGCATGATGTAGTCCCATGGGTTCATTTTTTATTTTGTTTCCCTTGCCTGAAGAGATATGTTCAGGAAAAAGTTGCTCGTGTTTATATTCAAGAGATTTTTGCCTATGTTTTCTTCTAAGAGTTTTATGGTTTCATGACTTACATTCAGGTCCTTGATCTACTTTGAGTTTACTTTTGTGTATGGAGTTAGACAGTGATCCAGTTTCATTCTCTTGCATGTAGCTGTCCAGTTTTGCCAACACCAGCTGTTGAAGAGGCTGTCATTTTCTCATTGTATATCCATGGCTCCTTTATCATATATTAATTGACCATATATGGTTGGGTTTATACCTGGGCTCTCTAGTCTGTTCCATTGGTCTATGGGTCTGTTCTTGTGCCAGTACCAAATCATCTTGATTACTGTGGCTTTGTAGTAGAGCTTGAAGTTGGGGAGCATAATCTCCCCAGTGTTATTCTTCCTTTTCAGGATTGCTTTGGCTATTCGAAGTCTTTTGTGGTTCCATATGAATTTTAGAAGTATTTGCTCTAGTTCATTAAAGAATGCTGTTGGTATTTTGATACGATTGCACTGAATCTGTAGGTTGCCTTAGGCAGGATGGCCATTTTGACAGTATTAATTCTTCCTTGCCAAGACCATGGGATGAATTTCCAAGAAGGTGCTTGTTTTTAAATGAGTGTTAGTTTGGAAGCAGTTTAGCACTGTGAAGTTTGGGGATTTTTTGCAGAATTTCTACTTGACTTTCTTCTTATGGTGGAATTTTTAGTTATTTCTATTTTTTTAAACCTTGACCAGGTGAACAGCATTCACCCAGAATGCCGATTTCATCTAGAAATACAGGAGGAAGAAACAAGATGTGCAGAGCTTCTAGGGCCTCAAACAGAAAATTACAAAGGTAAGAATTGGTGAGTAAGGCCATCCCAGAAATTGGTAATCAAACATGCAAAAACTCACATCTCATGACGAAAACTGATGTTTTAAGGTCACTTGCATCTTCAGGGAAAAAAGGTCCATTTCCAGTGCTTTTCAATGACTGCTGATGAAACTCATACAGCCTCTTGAGTATGGGGGTGGGAGGGGCCTTTACATAGACCTTTTAAAAAGAAAGACTTAATCCTTAACAGTAACAATTTCCATGGTTTGAGATAATAGCAACAGTTGCTAAAATACTTTCATGGGTGTTGTTATGCTTTGCAAAAGCAACTCCATTTTCTGTGGAATGTGTATTTATCTGATCTCTCGCATTTTAAATTCTTAGTTCCATTACAGATGATTCTGGTCCAGTTAGAAATGATAGAAACTTATGGGAAATCAAACAGGAAAATGAAACATTGGTTTCCTGAAGACAAACCTATTTACAAATACAGTGAACTTTCTGATCCATTTTCTCCAGGCCAGAGAAGGAATGTTGGGGTGACACACACTCAGCCCAGACACATCCACACTTTTATAAATACAGGTCTGGGACTTCAAACACCCTGATTATAAACAGGAGCAAACCCTTTGTCCTTCAGTTTTCTTTTTCTCTGTTCTGTGTCATTATTTTATCTTCTTAAAGAAAAAAATTAAAATCAGAGTATGACCATGTGTTAAAACAGTCTAGCATTCTGCAGAGGACCTCAGAGAAAAAAAACGCAGACATGGGTTCTGTTTAGGCCAGCACTGCCCAGAGGACATAGAATGTGTGCCACAGGGGTGTTTTTGAGTTTTCTAATAGCCACATTAAAATAAGTAAAAAGAAATATGAGAGTAATTTTAACAATGTATTTTATTTATCCAAATATATCTGAATCACTCTCATTTCAACTTGTACTAGTATAAATGCTGATGAGAAATTTTGCATTTCTTCATTCACACAACCCAGCACGCACTGTGCATGCCCTGACCACACTTCGCAGTTTGGACCTGCCGCCTCCCAGGCACTCACACTGGACTCTAGACCCAACCTAAAATAGGCATCGGGGCCCCTTCCACCTCCTCTGGAGCCTCCAGTCCTTGAACAGGGAGGTCTTGGGCTCTAGGATTCCTTCCTGCCAAATCCAGATTCATGGTTCTGTACTGCACATGCCATAGCTTCCCAACGGCCTGGTAGAACTCTGCCCAGAGAAAAGTGGGTGAGTCCAGTTCCACAAGAAACATGGGCTGAGTGTCCTGTGTAAAGCCACATGCCAACCATTAGCCTGTGACAAGGACAGATGAGACGTGGTCCTGCTATCCAGGGCCTCATGATGAGACGATGGGCATGTTCCCTCCTGTGAGAGTCAAGAGGTTAGATTCAGCTTCCCTCGCTGAAAGAGGACAGGCAAAACTGTGAGGGTCATCCAGTTAGTGCCAGTGCCCCCAGGGCCTGTCTGCATATCCCTGCGGTCCGGCCTCGCACCCTCCTGCATGTGGAGGAGTTGGGGTGTCTGCTGTGTCCTCGGTAGGTGCCCCTCAGACTTCTGTCTGAAGACTCTCAGGGATGGGACCTCTGCTCCTCACACCATATGGGACAGTCACATTGTTAGCAGGCTCTGAGGCTGTGCACAAATGGCCGCCACTCACTGGTGTTAAATTGCCTCCTGGAGCATAGGGGGCAGAGCTACTTCTTCCAACATGCAAAGGGCGTTTGTAGGCTCTGCCTTCTCCTCCCTGGTCCAGATACTCCCGATTCCTGCAGCTTTCCCCAGGACACACACACAGGTCTCCTGCCAAGCTGTGGGCCTCCAGGGACACTCCAGAAATGGGCACGGGAGGAGAATTTTACCATTGACATTGCTGGCACGTGGTAATAATGAAACCAGACCAAACTGTAGTCAGTTTTCTTCCTGTTGACAAATCTCTGCAGACAATGCCCCTCTCCCTTGCACCCCTGAGCGACTGCTCCCAGCTCAACCCTCTCGTAACCGGTGTATTAGGGAAAAGCTCTTGGGATACTGTCTTACAGCTTCGTTCTTGCCATTCCTGATCTCCTGCTTTCATCAAGAATGCTTTGGTACCAGAGAGAAAGCTGGCACAGTTCCAATGGGCGACAGGAACACTTACCTTTTAAAAAATAGAGTATGGCCATAACCTTCCCTGGGAGGAATTCCCTCACAGTTGGTCAGGGTTGGCCAGATAGCAGACGGAACATCTGTAAGTTTGTGCCAATGACGTGCCTCATGACATACATGCCGTACAGGGAGCAAGAGGACCAACTCAGGGAGGTGAGGTTCTCTGCCATTATGAAATAGGATGCTGTGACCCACAATCAGGTTTTTTTAAATATAAAAGATTCTCATTATTTGCTGGCTCACATAGATGAAATGTGTTCAGAACAATATCCTTTTAGTTTTACTCTGTTCCAAGGGACAAGCATGACCCCTCGTCCCTGGCCAACTGTTCAACAGCGGTAAGCTGCTGCCCAGGAGGGGAGCTGCTGGCCATGTGGCTGGGCAGCGGTGGTGTAGGGCCACGGGGCCCTGGGGACCTGGGAAGAGGCAGATGCTCCTTACACCCCACTGTTCTGTGAGGAACGCAGGTGCTGAATTGCCCAGCTTCCTATTTTCAGAGAACATCAGAAATGCAAACTTTACCCAAAATATTACAATTAAAAGTTTGCAATAAGTACTTAAAACAACAACAAATTTCTGCAGAAGCCAGGCAGGCTGCTATCTGCAGGATGGCCAGACTCAGGCTTGTTTCCATGGTTGGAGAACAAATGCCTCCTGGTGCGAGAATGGGTCAGGACACCTTAAATATTCAAGAGGGCTCCATTGCTGCTTATTTTTGCTGGGTTCAGAGTTTCTCAGAGCTGATCCATGTTGGCCCACATCAGACGTGGAGGTATGTAAGGACAGAGTCCCTGAAAATCGCTAAGTTCACCTCAGCATCAGCTGGAGCAGAAAGAACATAGTAGTTTTAGAGGTCATAAAACATCTGCCATGTTTGGAGTGGTGGGGAAAGATGCCACTTGGTTTTTTTACAATGACAAGTATCAGGCCTTGGACATTTTCTTACATTGAAGGCTCTTGTTATTAAAGCTCTGTAGCAAAAATACCTACATCTGACTCATCTTCCCTTCCTAACTTGCAAGAAGAGCTTGCTAACAAGGCCGGCTGCCCTTCAGGAAAAAGGCAGCATTGTGAGGTAGACAGGCCTGGCCACCTTCACCTTTCTGTAGAGGCACACTTTGTCCTCTAAATTCCTTTTCTTTTCTTTTTTACTCTTTGGAATATGCATGGCTCAAATGTCAGGGATATAAATAGTAATAAGTCACCAGAATAAGCAGCACAGATGAGGTAAGCCAGGGTGGGCTGGATGACTGCGATGCCGGACACCAACCATGCGTGTCTGCTCATGAACTTAGAAGGGCAGTGAGATAGTAAGGGTCTGTAGTTGCTACTTTAAAATTCTGTAGGATTAAGAAATTGATATGGAAGAGCACCAGAGACAAGAAAAAGTCATTTTCAATTTTAGGGAGTTGGTAAAAACTCAACTAGGAATTATTTTTAACACATGTTGAATCTAAAACAACACACAAAACCAGACAAAAACCAATTTCAATTCTTAACCTCTTTAAAAGGATTCACTTTGTACAAAATAAAAGTTCAGTAGGTATTCAGAGCTTCATGACTTAAGACTGACTCATTGTTAAAACTAAACCTTGGCAACAGGTATATGAGGCACTCTGAGGCCACAAGTGGCTAAAAACACAGCTAAAAGGCAGCCCTGGCATGTGACCCCTATTGACCTGTGAGTGGAAGGGAATGTCAGAGGCCCCAGGCTTTGCCCAGGTGTCCTGCCTGTGACAGATTGGATAGGAATTTGCGTGTGACTTTATATCAGTTATGCCTGCATCGGAAGGGGATGTGTCCTCCATCTGGGGAAGAGCAGAGGTGGTCTCTGCATCTTTGCAGCCCCCAGATCTTACATAGTATTGGCATTTCAGAAGATATTGAGTAAACTTGTTCTGAACAAATTAATGAAATTTTTCACATAAAAAATTAAGTGATATATGCACATAAAAATGCATTCAAAAACATATATAATGAAAACTATTTCCTACTCCAGATCGCCAGGTCCCCTCTCTGAGGACAGCTACTGCCTTTCACCTACCCTCCTGGGGATCCTCAGACTGATGTGTGTCCCTCCCGTTTGTCTTGTACACATGGCAGTTAGCATGCCATCTACCCCAAAGCTCTGCTGCACTGTTTTTCTTTTTTACTTTAGCAGTGTATTTGCAGACTGGTCTGTATTGCTTTATATATTCCATTTAAGAGCTGTGTAGTATTCTGATGTGTTTTATTAGTCTATCTCAGGCTCTGATTCTCTGTGGCTTCAGGTTTCCAGGTGTTTGATCACATGGGCAGGTCGCAGCCCTTCCCAAGGAGGACTTGTGGGTCTGAGTGAGGCTTTGGGGAGTTTTCTGGGTCGAGCACGATGCCCAGAAACTGCCTCAAAGTCCCTCAGAGCAGGGCCTCTGTTCCTGAGTCATTGTCCTGTGTCATGATGAGCTGCTCTGCTGCGGATCCCCAGATGCTGCCCTCAGCCCCACGGGAAGGCCAGCACACCTTCCTGGTCCTTACATGCCTCACCCACACTTTGCTCTGGGTGAAATCGAGTCTGTCCTGCTGTCTGGCTGGTTCTGTCAGCACGGGCATTCTGCCGCTCACTCCCTCTTCCCAGCATGTTTTATTGATCATGTACCAGGCAAGAAGGGTCAGGGGAAATCGGGTGCTGTGTCCACCCCTGCAGGACTGAGTCAAGCCCCCAGCGGCAGCTCATTGGGGTGGGAGAGCCAGGCCCTGCATCAGAGAACAGGGTTCTTAAGGGAAACCAGAGAACGTGAAATGTAGTGATACCAGTCTGCTGAACCAGAAGCCAACAGAGAAAAGTGCATAAGGACTTCTCTCTGCTCAGAGATAATGCAGGAAA